AAGCTTAAAGGCCGCAAAGATTTGACCTCTGTGGAACGCAGGGCTTTGTCAGATGAGGCAACAACAATGCTAGGGTTTAACGGGAAGGTCCCAAGGGGAAGGTGTTTAACAAACTTCTGGCCTAACAGAAAGTATTAAGGGCGTCGGGCTTGTCTAGTCAAGTGGTCTGAAAACTGAGGGTATAAGATAGCTGTCTTCAAGGTTTCTGTAAAAAGCAGGGAAATAAAAGTATCAGCAAGAAAATATCTCTGTACATTGCAATGGCAGATTTGGAGGCAACACAGACAGGATCCAAGTGATGTTCAAAGGGTGGATATTGGCAGGGGTTCAGCTCCTTCAGCCTTGACTCCTGCCATTGCCTGTCTGCTCTCATCTCCACTGTACAGACCTCGTTTCCATACATCCCTTGTGGTCTCCAGCCCTCCTTCTCTCTCTGCAGGTCTGCAACAGCAACAAGAACTGTCACTGCGATGCCGGCTGGGCTCCACCCTACTGCGAGAAGCCGGGCTTGGGTGGCAGCGTGGACAGTGGCCCTGTGCAGCGCGACAGTGAGTGACGACTTCTCGTCCAGTGCCTTGTGACGCTGCTGGGGCTGGAGCGATGCCACAAGAAGGGGCGATGGGGCGATAAAGCTGCTGTCAGCTCTGCTCCCAAATGTGCTGGGTTGGGTCTGTTCAGGCAGACTCACAGCCTGGCTCTGGTTGCTTGGTGGCCACCCGTTTTTGTCAGATGCCACTGGATGCTGCTGCTCCCCGGTCTCTAGCTCTGGGTGGCTGGGAATGGGCAGATGGGACCAATGGGCAGATGGGACCAATGTTTGCGTTGTGTGGAGCCAGAGGCTGCTGGGTCTCCCAGCCCCGTGCTCATCTTTGTGCTTTTCCTGCCAGATCATGAAGCCATCGTAATCACCCTTCTGCTCATCTTCCTGCTCTTCCTCCCGGCCCTGATGATGAGCATCTACTTTTGGTACCGGCGGGAGAACTCGCTCCTGAATAAATGGATAAAGGAGATGAGGAGGAGAAGCCAAGAGACATATAGGTGGGTGATGTGTCCTAAATCCCTTCTCTCTTGAGGACCCAGTGAGGCCCTGAAACCTTGTTTTCTTATCACTGACAGCACCCAGCCTGGTAGGAACGGTTGTGGGGGAGCTGGTGGTGCACAGGGTCTGTTTCAAACTGGTATGAGACCTGGTTTGAGATATGAAGAGCTCTCTCCTGGGAAAATCTGAGGCGCTCAGCTCTCCCCTGAGCAGAGGACAGGAATAGCTCTCTGGACAGAACAATCCCAGAGAGTGATGGTGAAGGTGGTGTGGTACAACAAGCTTTCTTGTCATCCGCTCCTAGCAGGCTGCAAGAACTGGAAGGGCTCTAAAGGAGCACTGAATTTAGATACTCTCATTATTTCCCCTCCCAGTACAGGTACAGACACACAAACGTTTCAGAGGCCCTGCAATAATTTGAGAAAAAAACCTGAAACCAAACCACCTACTTCATTACCCTCATCTCAAAACAGATTTGTCATCCCTGCTCACCCGGCACTGAAAGACTGTCTGTTAACAATCTGTTAACGGAGACAGGATCTCACTGATGTGCAGCATTTCGGGAGGCAGCTGTTGCAAAAACGGTTGCTTTATTTTGCCATCTGTGATTTACGTTTGTGATTCCGGGCAGGAACAAAACCATCAGTCGGAAGTCAACCAGTGGCCATCCCAAAGCTGCTTTCATCTTGCGGAACATTTCCACCTCCAGCCACACTAACAAAGTAAGTAATAACTCACTTTCCAGACTTGTTTCCCTCCCTGGGACTTGATACTTGTGGTTGATCCCACCTACCTCTAGCAACTGGGCAAGCAACTGGTGCACTGTCCTGGTTTGGCATTGTGTCTACACTGTAAGCCCTTGGCCAGTAGTACACATCCCTCGTAAAAGTGAGTCTGCTGAGCTCTGCCTGCTCAAAAAGACCCTGGTGATTGCCAGGACCCTCTGCTGGGAAATTGCCCATCAGCATGGCAAAGCTTGGCAGGGGTTCTGCAATCCTGCTGATGACTTTGTGCTGGGTCTCTTGGGGAAGCAGATGTTTCTGCTGCTGGTTGTGTCAACTCTGGTGACCTTGGGATGTATAAGCCTGGGGTTGAATTTAGGAAGAATTTAGGTTTTTTTGAGCACGGCCACAGTAGCTGAGAGCAGGGCAGAATGGATGATCTCTCCTATCTCTGTAATTCGGTCTGGTGGAAATCTGGCATGGATTCACCAGAGCTGGCCCTGGTGAGATCTCAGGCCCTCTCCAGATCTCCTGAGACCAGCACCTTTCGCATCCCTATGTGCTCTCATATGGTTAGTGAGGAACAAACGTATTCAGCTTTTGGGCAGGATGGCAAAAGTGGTGGTTCCAGAAAGTGGAACAAACACCCAGTGCTCCTCCCGCAGCTCCCTAGCACCTAGACCCTGAGGGCACATCTGCTTTTCAGCACCCAGGAAGACACACCTAAGATTTTTCTCCATACTTCTGCTTTTCTCATCCCTGCAGGCAACACGGGCTGCGTTCCCCCCCAAAACCAACGCTCACCAGCCTGGCTCCCAGCCCGTCAATATTGTCCACCCTCTTCGCCCAGCTCCCCACTCCATCCCGCCACGTCCGAGAGACCCCAAGCCTGCCAGGCCACCTCCACCAGTCAGCAAATCACCCATGGTCTCCACCAAAATGGTCGTCTCCCAAGTTAAGCTACCGCCTCCAAAGAAACCACTTCCCTGTAGCCCCGTGAGGACGCCTCTGGTGAGCTTTGCTGGTTGGCTGTGCTTTCCTGCCAGACTCGTAGAAATTCCCTGGGTTTTGGCTGCCTGTGGCTCTTTTGGGTTGGGCACCATTGAGGAGCTGTGGTGCCATCCTAAGAGATGAATCTGTTGCAATGGTGAAGAAAGCTTATTAGATAATGATAATATTTTAAGGGAGTTTGGGTGGTGTTGTTACATGCTTTGAAGCATCTCAGCTCTGCAGCAGGGGAGGGAGGTTTGTAGGAGGTCACTGAATGCTCCTCTAAGGGTATTGTCTCTCCACACACACTTTGTGATCCCATGTTGTCCCAAAGCACCAGCCCCCCCGTCGGCCGCTGCCTGGAAGTCCTCTTCTGGCCAAAGAGCTGCCTCCTCCACATGGACAGACCCTGCTGGTCATGGTCCCTCCTACCAACTTCAAGGCGTCGGGTACAAGTGTTGTGAGCCACCCCACGAGGCCGTTAAAGTAAGTTGAGAGAGGAGCTGAGCTATCTCTCACCTCTGCTGGGGTCTTGCAGGTGGACACAGTGGTCTTGTGTGTCCCGTCTGGGTGGGACATCCCAAATGTCACTGTGGTGTGCTCTGGTCTGCCCCTCGTGGTGTCTTCACCGTGACCTGTTTTTTTTCTGCTGCTCCACAAAATGGCTGGTGCGTACAGGTCAGTTTACTGAGGAGCAGGAGAAATGCTCTGTGCTCTGGGCTGTGCGGGTCTGTACCCACTGGTGTAGCTACAGAGGAGTTTGAAGCCCACCAGCTTGGAGGCGATCTTTGGTATGAGGCATCTGAGGGCAGCAGAAACAGGTAGAAAGGAAATCAGAAGATATCCCAAATCCTGCTATCTGGGGAGCAACCACAATCAAGGTGTTTGTCCAGATGGGGATCCTGCATACATCAACATCCCTGTGCCCAGGCTCCCTCTTGCATGGTGCAGGAGCAAAGCCTGCCCACCTAAGCAAGGTACCTGTGGGTGTGTGAAATCTGCAGCCATGTGATAGGAGCCCACAGGGTTTGGCCAAAGTTGGCCAGTGGTAACCAAGTTTGGGACTTTGGGTCTTACGGGGTCCTGATGGGTTAAGGGAGACGCTGCCGTCCTTTGGTGGGTCCATACAACCCCTTGTCCCAGAGCACGGAGGGGGCTGTTGATGAGCTGCTGGGGGACAGCGGGGTGAAGGAATGGACATTGATGTTCTGTTTCATCTTTCCTCCCTACAGACCAATGCCACCTCAAAGGTGAGTCACAGACACCGTGTAGGACCATGGGGGAATGGCCTTTGATTTAGCACTGGGCTGGGACCCAAGAGAACGGGGACTGAATGTCCCCCTTCCCAGAGGCTCTTAGATGAGCAGGACATAGCCCCTCTGGGTACCCAAACAATAGCAGGGCTTGGCCACCTGTGTCCAAGGGAATGGAGGACATGGGCTTTCCATTTTGGAGTTGGGAGATTCAATCCAAGTCCTTTACGATATCACCGCTACTTTCAGCTCTTGCTATGTTGGTAAATCCTCTGGAAATAGGTCGGTGAAGCCTCAGGAGATTGTGCTTGCATCTGCTCCTGTTAGCCAGGCTTGTGGGCCATATCCAGCCATGGAGTGAAGGCACCATGCTGGGCTGAAGTTGGCCTTCATCCCCAGGCAGTCTGCTTTGCTAATTACTGCTTTGATGCTCTTGGACCATTTTAGGTTCCTATGTCTTTGTAGTTGCCACCACAAGGAGGCTGAATATGCCCCAAAATTTCTCAGTGTGACTCAATCCCTATAGCTCATGTGTTGTAGTAGATAAAACAGACCTGTTCCATGGTTCCAAAAGAGAAAGATTTGGAACACCCCGGCAGCCAAACTCAGCTTTCCTCCCCAGATGGTCCTTGCTGCCCTGGGAGCAGGCCCTGGCCATCCTCTCTTGAAACGGTGCCCACGTAAAAAGGTGTTGACTGGCAGGGCCAGACTTGTGCCAGGGAGCAGGACATGCCCGTGTCCTGGTCTGGGTTCATTACTTGACACCACCAACATGGTAAGAGAGGGTCAGGGAACTGTTTTCTTTCCTGGGTGGATGAGGTGAGAGATTTCGTAATTCCCACGATGGCCTATAGGATCCATATTGGGTTGGTTGATTTGATGATGTCTCTTGGTAGTGCACAAACCACCCTGGCAGTAACCCCTTCAGGGACGTGGCTCCTGCAGTTGGTGGGCTCACAGTTCTCACCCCTGGGTACTGCCTGGTGCTACCACATGCTTTGGTGGACTCTGCATCCTCTCAGGGTTGTGAGGGTACGCCAAAGGGAAACGTCTCAAAATGATACAATTTGGGATTGTATTTTTGAGAGAGGACATGGGTGACCACGACAGTCCCAGGTCCCCTCTGGTCTCAGGGACAGCAGCTGGTCTGTCTTCCCTGGGCTGTGGAAGGATGGTCGTGGTGGAAGTGGTGGATGCTTGGTCTCTGCACTCAAATGAGTTGTCTTCTTTCTCTTTCTTCTTGCTTTAGGCCAGTCCCAGCCGTGAAAGTCCAATCAACCTCCTTCCCCTTGAAGAAGTGATAAACCAAGGACACCTTAAGCCCATCCTTCCTGAGCTGGCTCTCCTGATTTGCACTGCTGCTGGCGACAGGGATCTTTTATTCCTCTCTTGTTTTATTTGTCTTTTGATACCAGAGGACTATTTTTATAAGACGGAATTATGTATTCAGCACAAAAACTGTAGTGGTGGGGGGAGGAGAGGGGAAATTGGTACCATGACATAACAAAGGGTTGGAGTAGGCTGGTGTTGGGGTTGCCATGATGGAGACTCCATCACAGCTCCTGGCATCGCTTCCTTGCCAATTTACCCCCCAGCTTTAGTTTCTTCTTGACGTTGCACATGGGCTGGGATGGGGTGACTTGGGGTCAAGAGAACATCCAGCACTGACTTAAGATGCTGACGACTGGCAGTGAAAGCCATGTAATATCCTTCTAGCTACCTCCTCCTTCTCCTCCAGGCCTGGTGAGACCCCCACCACCACCCACTGACACCAGAGTTCAATGCTGGGCATTGTCTCCAGGGAGACATTTGCCATGAGAGAAAGGTGATTTCCAGTTTGGACTGTGCCATACAGTGCTGGGACATTTCCATGAAGGATCCAAGTTCTCAGGCTCCTCCTGGCCTCCTGCCTGATTGCACAAGACAAAATGGTGACAATCCTGGGGCCTTACCTGGAAGGAGAAGCTGTCTGGGAAATGGTTTAATGTCTGAAGTGCTGGTGGCAGCTGGTTACCAGGGTGCTTTCAAGGGGCTCAGGAGCCCCCCATGAACTTTACATGTTCCTCGCTCATGGGGCAAGCCCAGCAGTGGCTCTGTGAGCTGCTAACACTCTGCTGTCCAAAGGGGAAAGGAGCCACAAGCCGGGAACAAGCGCAGGAAGACCTCCTGCCTGTGTCATTTGCTTGCCCAAAGGCCTTGGCCAAGCCATTGCGTCTCTCTGTGCCTCAGTTCCCCTCCGTCTGTAAAACGGGGGGTAATACCTACCTCACAGGGGTGTTGTGAGGTTTAACAAACTCATGTCTTGAAAGGGCTTTACAATCCTCAGATGAAAGGTGCTGTTGACCTGCACAGTACTATACCGTGCCACTTTCCTATGACTTGACATGCGGCTCTGTCAGGGTCTGAAATAAGAACAAAGGCTTTGTACAGTCCTCTGGCTCCTCTGTCTCTTTTCTTGCTCAGAAATTCCCTGAGCCTTCCGACACCAAGGATGCTTGGTCTCCCACCACACCAGTGCAAACAGACATCCCTGGAACCTCTTCTGTTAGCCCTTAAACCTGGGATCATTCCATCCAACTGTGTGTGCCATCTCAGCTACCCTGGTGTAGATCCCATCTGCCCTAGGACTGATTTTTTGAGATGTGTCCAACCAATGTAAAGGTTGTTCATGATGTAGGCTCAGGGACAAACCTCGGGAAACTGTTCTCGTGTTTCATTATCCCTGATGTTACAAAAAGGGCTGCTAATTGCAGGTTGTGGTTAAAGCCACCTTAACCAAAGCTTTCCTTACTCTTTTATGATCAGATTTTGTTTCAAAGTCTTTGGTCATGCACATGGGTCTTCCCTGAAGCATGTCTGGTACTTCCATATTTTTCTAGGTTGGAGGATATCCAGGTGGGATGTAGGATCCAGCAGCTCCTCTTACTCTGGTAACGAGTCGCAAAATCACAGAGTCGTTTAGGTAGAAAGAGACCTCTTGAGATCATCCTCAGATGACCTCCAGAGGACAGGAGAAATGAACTGGTCCCTAAACCTTCCCAAGGTCCCATTCTTTGTAGTGATCTCCCGAGGACTTCTGACATGGTCAGACTTGAGGAAGAGCCTGCTGGGCTCCTAGAGAGGGGAAACCCTGCTCCCTGCCTGTGAATGCCCTCCCTTCTACTGTCCAGTATAGGTGTTTGTTAGCAGAGGGTTAAACAATTGGGGAGGATTTGGAGAAGTTGCTGCAATGATGAAGGGGTTGGAAAAAAATGAGTTAGACTGTTTAGCTTAATGACAAAGTGAGGGATGACAGTGCTGCAGTCAAAAAAACCTGCCTTACGGTGAGACCAGCAATTGAATGGTCACATCAAACTGATGCAATGTCCCTGGGCTTGGATTCTTGCCCGTTAACGTCACCTATCTGGCCATCACACTCCCCTTCATCTCCTCATGTTGCTAGTGGGGAGGGATGAGGAGTTCATCTTCTACAACTACCCAAACTTCACAAGTGCAGAGCTAGGACATGCACATTTGAGGGCTAAATTTGAGCTATTCAGTCTAGAAAGGGGTTGATAGAAACCCCTATTTCTGATCTCAGGGATCCTGCAAAGATGTGCTGGTCAAGGGCTCTGCTCAGCAGCACAGTAAGTACTCAACAATGATATTTTCACCCTTCTCAAAGACCCTTTCTCTGCCTGGGAGATGTCCTTGCACACCCCAGCAGATTTTTCTTCAGGCATATTGGCTGTGCCATGGTGCAGAATGACCTGTTACATCCCTTTTCCCAGGCAGAGCAGCAGTGCCGAGACCAGCCCTCCCAGTCTGCATGTCCAGACCAACCCAGCTCCTCTGCCCTTGAGCTGCAAGCTGGCTCCCTGCTTGGAGTAGACGTATGAAGAAGCTCGTCGTTTAGGGGTGATGCAGGACGGTCTGTTTGCTGGCTCTGTCCAACCTCAGATGGTCGCAGGGAGGGCAGATGGATGTTGTCCATCCGGATGCATCCACAAATGTGAGGCATGGCTTGTGGTCCATGGGACAGACAGAATTTGAGGCCTGATTAGAGAAATTCACGAACCCAGGGAGGGCTTTTGGGTGTCCTTCCGACACTAGATGGCAGAAGATGACCATAAAAGCCTCTGCTCAGCCTTGCCTCTGAATTGTGGCTGGGATTTCCAGGCACCAGACCTTTAAGTGCAGCTTGTCCCCTTGCTCTTTCCCCCCATGGAAAGACCCTATCATCTGCAATCCATTAAAAGCGTGAGCTGGGCATGAAAGCTGCCAAGTGCCTCTGGTGACTCGTTGAGCTTGAAGTCCATCCAAGTGGAGCTTTCCCCTTTGTACAGGGGTCCACTGCAAGCTTGGCTACTTTTGGAAAATGATGATGGAGAGCTGAAAAACCACAGCCCTTCACCGTACCGTGTCTTCAGCATCAAAGGCACCTTCTTGGGTAATGGAGCCTCGCACAGGTAGCATGTGCTTGGTGAAGGGGAAAGGAGGAAGCTCCTGCGGTGCCTGTCCCGTTTCAGTCATTCCACTGAAACCTGGGGCACTGGGACCGGTACTATTCAATATATTCATCAATGACCTGGACGAGGGAACAGAGCGCCCTGTCAGGAAGTTGCTGATGACACAGAACCCCAGCAGGCTGCGCTGCCATCCAG